GATGGTCCAGGTCTTGGAATTTGTCAACGTCAATTTGGCCCTCCAGAATTGAACCCGGTATTGCAAAGTCGAGGTCATTGTCTCATAACCCCCCCCCCCCCTTGTTTTTCTCCCTTCCTTCATCTTCGATCGCGAGTCCCCTAGCAGAGGAAACTTCCTTTCTTTTTTGTCGAAAGGATGGCTCATCATCTAAGGGGACCTTGTCATTTGGAGTTAAAGTAACATGTGTGGGGCCTGACTCCTTCCGGAATGTTTGGCAAGGGACTGGTGACAGTGTGAGCCATCCCCTTTTTCTTCCTCATGCGTTTTTGCGACCTTTTCCTTCTTATTTTTATCCTTCTTCGTATCCATTCTCTTCTTGTTCTCTTGCTCCCTTCTCGATTCCTCCGCTTTCCTCTCCTCCTCTCTTCTTTTCACTTCTGCCCTGTTTTCCCCTTCCTTTCTTTCTTGCTCGCATCCCCTCCGGGCTTTCCACAAAGACCGATGTTGGTTCCCCTTGTGTCCCTGTCACCTTTGACCACCTCCTTATAAGAGGGAGGCTTTCTCATTTTTCTGTCTTCCACCTTACCCTTTCCCTTTAGGCTGACCGACCTTCCTCTGCCTGCCCCTTCCTTTTGCTTCTTCTTGGTGACATCGACCCACTTGTTACCACTAGCTTGTCTTTCTTCGTTTCCTTCCCCTCCACCCTCGCCTTTGTTTATGCTATCCTTCCCTCCCTTATCCTTTCCCCCTTTTTCTTCCCCCTCCCCTTCGTCCTCCGTGTTCTCCCTCCTGTCCTTCCCTGGTACCCCTTTCGTCGTTGATTTGCGATTTCGTTTTGCGGGGCAGTCGTCAATGTTTTGCTTGTGGAAGTGATGACGGCATATCAGGCACCAAGATGTTTCTGCCCAAATCACTTCAATCCTAACGGATCCAAAACGTCTGAGGTTAATATCCAAATACTTCTTGTACTTCAATTTCGCAGCTGGATTCAGGTCAAACCGTATATTTCTCAAGTGCGGTTCAAGCGGTTTCTTATACGCAGTGTAGTCTTTCATGATTGGACCAAAGGCATCTTCCACCACACCTTTAGAAGTTCCATCACAGAGACCGGGACTCCATACACCGAATCCAAAAGCATTTTTGACGCATTGCGTCCTTCCATTCCTGGAGTTGGAAAATATTCATTCAGGGTTTGAAGGTCAACACATGCACTCTCCCATCCAACTCCACTTCCTCACCTCCTTTTCTTAGCATCCAGTCAGCAATTTGGTTTCACAGGTGCCACGTACATCGCGAGATTGCGCCGTTTGTTGCAGAAAGTTCCCCTTATGGGGGTGGCATCTGGGGCCCCGGCTATAGCCCATGCATATTCGTACGTTCGAAGCAATCTATTCTTTACTTCCACAGCGAGTGTGAACGCTTCATCGTTAAAGAAAATTGACACAGCGTGGTCTGAGAGCCAGTCTGTTTGAATGCTACTAATCTCCTCATCAACGGTAAGTGTCAGTCACCCTTGTGATAAGCTCAGACCCGTAACGCGCGGCTTGCCGTATCCTTGAGGAAAAATCCCCCGGAAGCCCCGAAGTACGGATGCGAACAAAAAAGGGTTTTTCTTTCTTTTTACTATTGTTTTCTTTTTGTAGCGGCTTTTTCACTTTTCTTTGGTTTAACCGCGCGGACGAATAGCGGCCGCGGTTTGAAAACCAAGAAACGGTTTCGGTTGGGACTTTTTGAATTTTTGCGGGCACGCCTAAGCTCCGAATTCTTTGCGCGCCTCGCACCCCCGTTTCTTGCTTTGCATCCCCGCGCCATCTTCCTTTCTTGCTGCGAGCGTTTCCCCCACGCAGGACTCTTCGTCTTCCCCTACGCCCAGCTCGATCCCCACCCCCGTCTTCCTCCGCGAGTGAATGGCTGCGTAGTTGGGATGCGCGGATCAATGTGGAAGGCGAAAAGGCGCACCACTTGAACGAACACCCCAATCACGCCTAACCACGCGACTCCGCGGAACACCTGTTCCGAAACCCTTCACCCCTCTTCTGTCCTACTCGTCTACAGCCGGCGCTGCCCGCACCTCGGGCTGACAACCCGCCGCCTCCCACGCTATAAATCTTCGCAACCCCCTCCTCTCCCTCTCTTTGATCTCGGTTGCAATGCTGCGCGAGCTATGAGCGAACGTCCGCGACGCCGAACAGGCTTGACGAGCTCAAGTTACGGGCGGAGTGACGACGTGGGTCGGGCTTAGCGATAGACTCAGGGTAAGCCAGCTGGAGGGATTGGACAGTGGTGGAGATCGGACGCCGATCACGACAGGGGCTTGTGGCTATGGTGGTCGGTGGTCCTTGGGAAGTTTGCGGTTGCGCCGGAGGGCGTCAGCCAATTGGAAAATTTTGTGTACAATGAAACTCATTTTTTCTCCATTGCTGCTCTGTCTCCGTGAGATGTATGCAACGTCCCGTCGAGTGGGTAATTGGTTGTATGCATGGGAGTGAGTCACGGTGAGATGGTCTGTGAAGGGGTGTGAGTCTGTGTATGCATGTATGTGGTCCTTGGGTATTGCGTGGCGATTGTTTGCCTGGATGCATGATTAAGTTGGCCATCGTACCTCTTTTTCCTTCTGCCTCGTTCCCCTGTTAGTTTCGTATCTCGATCGCCTAGGGTGAGGGCCTCCGCGTACCGAAGGGTTCCCTCCCGTCCTGCGCGCTCAAGTCGGAATCCCGTGGTGCCGACGTCTGACGTGGCGCATCGCTGTTGACGACCGGAGACGTTCGCTGTGCCCACTGAACGTGGTCAGCAAACGGCTCTGCCCCTCCGCCCGGACCCCTCGGGTTGAGTGGTGTCAAACCCGAGAGAGAGAGAGAGAGACGTTGTCGCTCTTTGTATGGAGACAGATTTTCAATCAAGCATGGGTTCTCGCCCGTGCCCTTACCCCGACTCTGTGCGTCGCAGTGCACTCCCGATTTTCCCCATCGTCGACGACGACAGGCGTCGACAGCGTCTACTGCGACGCGGACGTACGGAGTGCCCTACGATGCACGGAGCAGCTTCACTGGCGCAACCCTGAATTGGCTTGCCACATCGCGGGGGAAGGGTTTGTGCTGATAGACCGCTTTTCTTCCCCCCCCCTTATACTGCCTTACACTGACCTGACGGTGCTCCCCTGGTCAGCGGCTTGCGCTGCGTGGCGCCCCCAGTTTGGTTGCCGCTGGTGCCAGCAGGGGGACTCCTGCTCGTGGCGAAGGCTGGTTCTGGGGTACGAAGGAGCCGCCCGGTCCCCGAACTCTCCCGAGACGTCGGAGCTCTCCCTGCCCGTTTCCGTACCTCGACCTCGGCGACGGCCCCCGCCTGCCGAGTTCCCACGGCCGTGAGTCCCCGAGGCCTCGACGAACGCGACGACAAGGATTGAGAATCTGCGCGGGGGAATCCATCGCCTCTTGCAGAACAGGCCCGGCGAGGAATAGGTCCTCCGTCCCTCTCCTTTTTCCCCAGCTAGAGAAACCGGGTTGGACCCGTCAGTTCACCCCGTTCTCCTCCCCCTTGTTTTAGGTAATCCTGACCGAGGATCGAGCCCCAGCCGGGGGAAACCTATCGGCCCCGAAACGAGAGACTCCCATTCCTACCGGGAGCCTCAACCCCCATGGCCAAAAATCCTCGGCCACGCCCCCCCCTTCTACTCTGATCGGCGACCCAGTACGGAAAGCCGCGACGGGGCGTGAGGTTAGCGCATCACACCCTAACAACGTGGTCTGAGAGCCAGTCTGTCTGAATGCTACTAATCTCCTCATCAATAGTCAACCTAACAAAGTCATCCCCTGAGTCCTGACTCTACCAAACCAGGTGCTACTCGGTTGGGTAGACTTCCCTCCTAAAAACACTTGGCTTCGGATTCTATTTTTCCTTTGGTCAGTTTCAGGGGCTGATCTAAGGAGGATTAGTCGAGGAGGGAACATTCAGTAGAGCCATCATAATTAGCAAGAAAAAGCAGCCTAATACTAATACAAAATCGCTGCTTCCTAATATTCCTATACTGCCATACACAGTCTGAAGCTTCCAATAAACAGGGAACCTCCCTTCTGCTGTGCATGAAATTTTACCTCCCGATGGTCTTTTACCCCTTGGTCACGAGCTGAGCAGTCAGGGCGGACAAAGTCGTCAACTTCCAGTGTTGCTCTCTTCCCTCTCTTACCCGGCCCTTTGGCCCACAGATATATCCATCCCAATCTCCCACCTACTCACCCCAGCCTATTGGCCGACCCTCCTCCTTTGAGCAGATCTGGCAGTGCTTGGGATTCCCGAGGATGCTGACTAAGTTCATCCATGATGTGCCATTCCTTGATGGCGTTATACCTTGGCAGGGAACATGCTAGTTCTAGCCCTAAACCGTACTTAGCGCTAGGCGCCGAAGCGGTGCTTAGCGCAGACGGATTAGCGCACAGAGCGGCCCCAGGCAGTTCAGGCAATTCAGAAATATCTGGTTTTATTCATGTGGAACCATCATCTGGATTCGAACTTGGGTCTGGATTTCAACAGTTCATGGGTGTACCCACTGATCTAAGCTCTTGGGTCTTAGGAGATGTTTTGCTTGGCTTTCTTCCCGCTTATTAGAGGGGTGTGGCTCCACCTCTTGGTTGAGGCTTGGAGGCCGGACTCCCCTGCTGTTTCTTCTTCTTTCCGAATGATGTATTGCCGTGGGCACTGGGCCCGATTGAAATAAAATTCGCCCCCCAGATAAAAAGTTCTCCAGATTCGTCATCGGGGGCAAGGTTCCACTTGCATGGATTAAGAGATTCTGGCCGTTGATCTTTGTTATCTAAGGTCAATATCGCTTAATGCGTGTAAGTGGGACCTAGCCCCGGGTACGAAGACGCGGATGGGCGGGGGCCCAATCTCGGCCTCCAGATTCTTTCATCGAACCACCTGTAATGCCCGTGGGGCCTTTTTGGCAAAGGTTCGTCGCGTTGCCCGTATCTACAACTGCTTCAGCTTCGCAGAGTGGCGACAGGAGCGGGAACAACACGAGCGCGAGAGCCATCTCGAGCGCCATCGCCAGGGCTACCGCAAGCGCCATCGCCATCGTCACCACCTTTGGCGCCACGTCCTGGCTCAGCATAGGCTGCAGAGCGACACTACGTGGAAAGGGATCAGTCGTCTTCTTCTACACGTTGGTCGTGGAGCTGTACGCGGAGACAACAAGATGAAGAAAGCGTGGGAAGTTTTGGTAGTTGCGTTGCTACTGGAGCTAATACTGTGTTGCGCCCTCCGCTATGCCGTGTAAGCCCGTGTGGCGGGAAAGGAGGATTCCGATAATCCGCGCCGCGGTTTTCCGACGCAGGCGGCGGGGCGGCGTCAAGAAGGTTATGCCGGGCGGCTGAGGCGGAATGGTGAGGAGTTAATGAGGGGGAGAGAGTTGCAAACGGGGTTCCAATCGGGGTGCCCGCCTGTAAACAACCTGATGCTCACCGGCTGCAGAATAATCGTGTCAGAGCAGAAGGATCCGGCTTTCCTGCCAAGTCCTTACGGCAACGAGAAATGCTTCATCTTCATCCAGAACATCGTGTATGGCCCAGGGGGTAAGCATATCTATTATGTCGTCCATCAATTTTGTGAGGGGCCAGATGAGAAACGAACAAAAGAAGCGATGTCGTACTTGGAGGCCGATCTGACGAGCGTCAGCGAGGGAGTCGGCGCAGTCGGCAGTCTTGCAACCACTCGGCTTATCAGCCACTGGTGGCCTGCGCTGATCCCTAACGGTCCGCCGCCGTTGAGTGCTGTGGTGTTCGTACCCCAAACCGGAATGCCTTACATGGCTCTTGGGTGGGGAACGGAGATATCGAAGAACGGAACGCATCTGCTCCTCTCGGCGGCGAGCTACGGTCCCTCTGATCCGTCGTGGGTTGTCGCGCTGAACATCGCCAATGGCTCGCGATCCTCCATCCCCATAACGGTGGCCTTGGCAAATGGATTGACGTTCAACCCCACCAAGACAAAGATGTACGTCTGCGACATGCAGGATCCAGCTAAGATTTTGGAGGGCGCGGTCATCGATCCGGATGTTCCCACCCGCTTGGTGATGACGACAGTTGTCGAGTTCGGACCTCTCTCGGGATACAACGTCAGCAGTCCGGCGGTCGGGCCGTACAGCTTCAGCGGTGATGGCAGTTGCCTCTACTTCTTTGATGAAGATTATCGAAGATTGTGGACGTTTCAGACTGTGTCTCGCGTAGCCACGCTCATCGCGGTGGGCAGCAACGATACGGCGGTCCCGTTGACGTCAAGCGCCCTTCGAGTGCCGGTGGAAGGCGGCCTGACCGCACTTGCTGTGTCGTCGAACGGCGTGAACGTTTTCTTCACCACGAGCTGGGGTGAGCTGTTTCTCATAACCATGTCCGAGCCCTGCGGGACCCCCTTGATGGTGGAAGAGCTGGCGGAGCATCCCACGGAATCCTTTAGCGGACTGGCCATCCATGAGGCGGACGGCAAGCTGCTCGTGGGCACCGGCAACGGTCTGGTATTGGAATTCACGACGACTCTTCTTCCTTCAGGTCCTTCAGCTTCCACACCTTCGCCGCCTTACACCTCCAGTGCCGCCCCCCAACCTCCGATGTCCAGATCGGTTCCAACTGCTGCTCCTCCATCCTCACGCGCCTTTCCTGGGCCTGCAAATTAAAGATCGATTCCAACAGCTCCACCCTCTTTCGGTCCGCCGAACCCTACACCTCTCCTCAGTCGTTCCCAGGTAATTTCCGGCAATTTTCCGCTAATCTCAATAGCGTACTCAATCTAGGGAATTTTCTTCTCATACGATGCATCTGCTGGTCGACTGCGTGTCGACTCTCGCTCTACTTAGTATCATGTGCAATACGAAATCCTTTATATTTTATTTGTCTTCCTAGTTCAACTTGCAGCACATTAGAACTTCTTGCCTCTTTTTCTTTCGGTGCGCAGATAGAAGCGTAGAACTGAGTGTGTACAGATGACGTTTTCAGTCGCGACATCCGGCCGGCCTCGCGCTTACCACGATTTTCTCTCTTCTCGCGGAGGTGTCGTCTTCGTCTCGGATGAGAGCACTTGGTCGTGCAAAGCAGGTGGGACAGACGTGTAGATCTGCAGTACTTCTGCTTCTTGTTCTCCCTGTTTGACTCGAATCTAGTCCTTTTTTTTTTTTTTTTTTTCGGGGGGGGTGGACAATGCTCCAATCTATTCGTGGGGAGCCGCACGAATCTAGTCCTTGTTATGAGCTCCGGTGTAATTCGGAAGTGCGCACGCGAACAGCTCGGGCCTTTGATTTCACTGCCCATCAACCTAGTCATCTTTCATTCACTTTTATAGGTAAGTATAAGTGCCGGCAATACCCAGACATCCGGGTGGCGTTGGAACGCGCAGGTAGGGAGGGGGATCCGGGTTGGAGGAGATCTCGATATCCCAGTACCCTTTTTTGGGGGCGCAAGTACGTTGGTGTCACCGGTGTAGTTCGTAATAGGCGAAAAAAACAATGCATAGGCGCGTGTCACAGGTGTAGTTTGTAATAGGCAAAAAAAAAACAATGCATAGACAGGTTTCCCGCAGCCCGCGTTCGAAAAGGCAATCGGAACACAGGCCGGTGCTTCAGACCAGTCGTGTGTTTGGATTCGGCAGGTCCATCACCGGTTCCTTCCCAGGCACCGGGCCGGTCCGCTTCCCATGGGACATCAGGGGGGAGATCACCGGCCTTTCTGAATCGGGCCTGATAGGGCGCCGGCTCCAGGCACCCGTGAACAACCACCCCAACCCACGGCGATACAGGAGAGGAGGTTTTGCGATTCCCGCCATCTCTCTCTCTCTCTCTCTCTCTCTCTCTCTCTCTCTCTCTCTCTCTCTCTCTCTCTCTCTCTCTCTCTCTTTCTTGTCGGCGCCCCAATATAG